AAGATGCAAGCGGTTTTGGAAGAAGGTGGAGATGTACATCCGGTCCAGCCAGGAGGCGGGTGGTGGTGCTGTAGGCGGGTGGGCCGTAGGCGGGAGGTACAACAGGTCAGGGTGTTGTGGGTGAAAACACACCAAGCGGGGGGACCGCAGATGCAGTTGTGGCGGATCGGTGTGCTACGGGTCGGGGAGTGGCGCGAGGACGACCGTAATAAGAGTAAACGGTGGCGTTGGGAGAAGGTATAAACGAGCGAGTGTTCGGACAGCAAAGCCTCGATAGCAGAGGCTTCATTCCGTTCATGCCCGTGCAGGGGGTGGTTGCGATCAAAAGGGTGGATAACGGAGTTAAAGTCTCCTACAAGTAGGGTTGCGGATGCAGCTGAAGAAGAGTCCAGCGCTGGAGCAAGGCGCGAGCGCCACCAGGGCCGTCTGTCGATGGCATGAGGCGGGGAGTATATAGTGATAAGCCTTATTTGCTCGTAGTGGAAGTTGATGTCGACGCAGAGTAGACGATCGTCGATTAAGGGCGTATAAGAGGTGAGGGAGATGGATTTGTTGAATACAAAGATAGATATGCCACCGGGGCATTGGCGAGTACCTGACGAGGGTGTGCTGAAATACGGGGCCATTGTGTGGGCAGAGGCATGGGTGCGAAAGCGAAGGTCTAGCCTTTTCACATTGTCAGTGAGGCGGGTATTGACAAGTACGGCGATATCAACATTCCTTCCGTGGAAGGTAAGCCACCCTTTTAGAGCGTGTATTTTGAAAGGGACGTTTAGCCCGTTGATGTTGATACACAGTATTCTAAGGTGTGTTATAATAGTAGATAAAGAAGAGCTTAGCACGCACCAAGGTGGGCGAATCCACGGGCTGACATGTAAGGGAAGGTTTGAGCACTCCTATCTGTTACGTTATTGAGCATGTAATTCTGAAGCATGTAGCAAGGTATATAATAGCATAACTTCGTGTTGTACAAACAAGAATTAAGGCAGTAGTGAGACAACGATAGAAGCAAGAAGGCGGCCAGGAACCACCGATCTGCAGCAAGGCAAGGAGATCGGCAGCCTGGGGGATAGTAGGGCACAGCGTGTCATACTGTTGCACGCCATGGGGTGAAAGCAGTAACAGGGCTAATGTAGCATCCACGAACTTTCCAACAACCACTGATCTAAAGCATGGCAAGAAAGTCTGCGATCTTGGGAAGGGAGGTGTGCTGGGAGGTGGGCTGCAGCAAGCTTCTTGGAGGCGTGTTGCTCGGAGGAAATGTGGGCCATAGCCGAGTCAAGAGCGGCGCCGTGATTCAAGTTGCACAGGGTACATGTCCATGGCTCGACATCTGCGTCGAGTCCAATGTATCGCAGTCCGGGGTCATTGCAAAATGCTGCAGGTGCAGCGCGGGAGCCAAGCACCTGCAGTGGAGGGTAGAGGACGGGGAATAGAAGACAGGGGCAGCAGAGGAAGAAGGATACAATAGAAATAGCTCAGGCGGTGCGGGGGCAGGAAGGCTGCCTGTGGGAGGGGCTTGGGCAGCGAGCAGGGGAAGGGGGGCTGCAAAGGGAGGCCAAGATGGGGGACAAACTAAGTATACAGATGCAAAGCAAGATCTTGGAGCTCAGCCAGGAGAAGGGGGGGGGGGGGGGGGGGGGGGGGGGGGGGGGGGGGGGGGGGGGGGGGGGGGGGGGGGGGGGGGGGGGGGGGGGGGAGGCGGGGGGGGGGGGGGGGGGGGGGGGGGGGGGGGGGGGGGGGAGGGTAGGGGGGGGTGGGGGGGGGAGAGAGGAGTTGCGTTCACAGCTCGAGAGTAAGGAGGCTGGTCTGAAAGAGAGGCACGGCAGTGATCTTGGTATGGCAGGCTATGAAGATGGAGGCGGGGCAAGGGTAAGGGGGGGGTTGCTAGCGCAGCCAAAGAGCTAGGTGACGGGCCTGGGAAGGAGATGAGACTAGGCCTTGGTGAGGGAGGAAAGGGGGGGTGCCGGTATGGTGGGTGAGAGGAGAGCGCTACAAACGCGGTCTGTGAGTATAAGAGCAAGCTTGAAGGAGGGGTGGGGCATTTGGGATGGGGAAGGTAAGGAGCGTAGAGGCGGGTCGAGGGTAGTAGAGGGGTTGTGATCGCAGCTCGTACGCCAGGCAGCTGACTTGAGGGGCGGGAGGGGGGGGGGGAAACAGCGTTCGTGGTAGGGAGGACAGGGCGGGGAGAAGTAGGATGGGGGTAAGGGGAACGCTGCAAACGCATCCTTCGAGGCAAAAATACTGTCCTGCGAGGGAAGTGAGGCAGAGGGTGGGGTACGGAGGGCAAGGAGGGTAGAGGAGGGTAGGAAGTAAGGGAGGGGCGGCAACCATAGTCCCTAAGATAGAAGTGGGATGGATTTTGTGACGGGGAGGGCGTGAAGGGGGCAAGTGGTGAAAGCAGGCGGGGAGAAGGCAGGTTGCATCAATAGATCCAAAACAGCCAGAAAGGGACAGTGGTTGAGAATGCGACCAGGGGGGGAGGGCAAGAAGCGATGGGGCAGAGGGGACGAACTCACTATTGGCTGGCTGCAGCTGAGCGACAGAGAGCTGCGGCTTGTTGGACAAACGCTGCTTGCGCTAGTTGGGAAGAGATATTAAGCATCGCGGTGGTTATTACCGCAAAAGGAGCAAGTATGGGAAGAAATATTAAGCAGAGCTGAGGGGGGGGGGGGGGGGGAGCCATCCTTGAAATTGATGACTGCCGAGATGCGGAGGAAGCCTGGGTCGTCCTGCGGAAGGAGCAAAATGCATGTGAATATAGGGAGAAAAGTGTCCACGTATGGATCCTTGACTTGGTGGAAAATTTGAAGATCCGCAAGCCAAGAGGGTTCACCCGCAACATCCTGGTGCACCAGGAAGGTGCGATTTTCCTCCGGAGTACAGCCTGTGGGACATTTTGGAGGGTCAGCGTGGCAGCCCTCCGGCCTTAGCTGAGGTAAAGCGCGGGTTACAATCGCGGTGGTTATAGCCACAAAAGGAGCAAGTATGGGAAGAGATATTAAGCAGAGCCGGGGGGGAGCCATCCTGGAAATTGATGACTGCGGGGATGCGGAGGAAGCCTGGGTCGTCTTGTGGGGGGGGGCGAAATGCTTGTGAAGATAGGGAAAAAGTTGTCCTCGTACGGATCCTTGACTTGGTGGAAATTTTGAAGATCCGCAAGCCAAGAGGGTTCACCCGCAACATCCTGGTGCACCAGGAAGTTGCAAATGTCCTCCGGGGTGTAGCCCGGTGGGACATTTTGGAGGGTCAGCGTGGCAGCCCCTCCTGCCTTAGCTGAGGTGAAGCGCGGGTTACGGTCGACGTAAACCTTCAGCAGCACCGAGCGGGAGTTGGGGAGGTGGAACGTGTGCGGGAAGAGGCTCTTGAAATCGTTGGCATTACCCTGAGAAGGCCAAGAGAACCGAAGGCGCGCGTAGGTACATCGGGGGATGCGGACAACTTCCCCCACCGAGGGCTGGAACTCGAGGATGACGTTGTTGTGGATAGCCTCCGCTCCCGCCTCAGGGAAAAGGATTTCCACCACTGCGAGTCTCCTGCGGGGCATGACAGGGATCGAAAAAGTTGCTCGTTGGCAGCGAAGGTTGCGCGAGATAGCTAAAGTGTCCGCGTGATCCGCCTCGGGAACGCCACTGACAGCAGCAAGGGTGCGCAGGCATAGCAGATCTGCTGCAGATGGAGAGGTAACGAGGGCAGCAGAGGGAGCCGCGTACGCGGGTGGGATGGGAGGGGCAGCGGAGGGAGGAGAGGCCACCGTGGTTGCGAGAGGCGCAACTGGCAGGGTGTGAGCGTTGGGCAACAGGCCTGAGGTATTCGGAACAAGGTGGGGCCAGGAGGAGGGGGCAGGGACAATACCAGAGACGTCTCCTCCAGTTCACAACTTCTTGGGAGTGGGGCGCCGTCGGTAGGAGGATCTGCAGTGACCAAGCGGTCAGGAAGGTCGTCCAGTTGAAGCTTTTCAGCATCGAGCTGCAGTTTGTCGTCAGCGAGTGTCTTCTCCTTATTCGGGTTGTGACGTTGGGTGGCCATGGTTGATGGGTAAGCGAAGCAGAGGGCGTTGTGGAGAGAAGAAGAGGGGAAACGAAGCGGAGGGCGATGAGGGAAATGAAGGGGAAGGCATGTTAAATACATGGCAGCCGAGCAGGGGGGGGGGTGTGAGGATCTGGTTCAGGAAAGATTGAACTATTGAATAATGCACCTGGGTACAAGGCGAGGCTGTATATAGGCTCGACACAAAGGCAGTAACCCTGGTGTTACTAGAAGGTTCCGCGGGTCGCGAAGCGTCCCGAATGGGTCCTTCCCGAATTCGGTAGAAGGCAATTCGGTGGCAACCGAAAAGCCTAGAATTCGGTGCACTCAACCTAGTTCGGTGCCTATAACTATAATAAATATAGTAAAGCAACGAACCTAGGAAATCTAGCAAAAGCAAGCAAAATAAAGCAAAGCTAAGCTAGATAATGCATAATAAAGCATAATCAAGCTAGTAAATCATAGCAAAGCCGTCGTACTCTCACACGTCCCCCCCTCAAAGCTGGGTGGCGTGAGATACACCCTGCTTGACAAGATAATCCTTGAGAGCACGGCGTGCGTTGCCCATATCAGCTTCTGCAACCCAACTGTCCTCCGACGGTGTCAGTAATAACGGACTGGAATGATGAACTAGCAAGGATTGTGAGTACAAATATGAAACCCTAATGTTGTGACCCCCCTATAGGCTAACCCACTACAGCCTACACAAATACAACAAGTATAATGTTTGACACACCCCCATAGGCAAAGTGGGGAAGACCTAGGGGTCACAAGACCAGTCAAGGCAAAGCAAGGCAACAACAAGCTCAGGGTGGATCTCAAGGACTCCACACAAATTCCGAGCACAAGCTAGTGGTCACAAGACCAGTTCACATGCAGGTTTATAACAGAGCAAGAGATACAGTGATCACAACCTAGCAAGAGTAAACATGCAGGTATAGATATATATAGTGATCACAGTACAAGCAGAGTCAAGAGGTAAGTAAGTGAGGTCCAGTAGGCACAAGGCCTAGAAGAGTGCAGAAGCGCTGATGGTCACGAGGCTGAAGCGCCTTGGTGAACACATCAGCAGTGTTGGCCTTAGTGGCCACGTAGCGAATAGAAAGCTGACCGCGCTGCTGCAGCTCACGAGCAAGGAAGTACCGCAGGGCGATGTGCTTCGTTCTGTGCTCCAGTCTGTGCTCCTCACACAAGGCAATGGCAGCCTTGTTGTCGACGTACAGTACTGGAGGAGAACGAGGCCGCTCTCCGAGGTCGGTCAGCAGGTAGGTCAGCCAGCGTAGCTCCTGGGCAGCCATGGCTGTAGCGTAGATCTCAGCCTCGCAACTGGAGCCGAGAACAGAAGAAGAGCGTGTAGAGCGCCAAGAAACTGAGCCAGAGCCAAGGCTGAAGGTGTAACCCTGAGACGACCGCTGAGTGGCCTGGTCGTCTGCCCAAGAAGCGTCTGAGTGCCCTGTGAGAACAACTCGGTCTCGCCCTCCAAGCACAAGCCCCATGCCCGACGTACTGCACAAGTAGCGCAACACCCTCTTAGCGGCATCCATGTGCTCCTTCCTGTGACGGCCAGGAGCGACATAGCGTGCAAGGATGCTAAGAGGGTATGCAAGGTCAGGTCGAGTGCAGGTCATCAGGTACATGAGGCAGCCCACAAGCTCTGGATACGGGCCACTCGGCTCTACGGACTCATCCGAAGGCAGAGCTGAGAGCGAGTGACCGGTAGGCAGAGGAGTGGACTGAGGCGAGGAGTACGTGAAGCGGAAGCGCTGGAGAACCTGCTGCACCATGTGTGACTGAGTCAGGGTGATGGTGCGCCGTGCTCTGTCCCGGGTGATCCGCAAGCCAAGATAGCTTGTCAGCTCACCCAGGTCTGTGCACGTGTGTCTCCTCTGCAGCTCCGACTTCACGTAGGCGAGTCCTGCAGTGTCAGCAGTGGCAAAGACCAAGTCGTCGACGTACACGAGGATGTAGAACGGCGGCAGCGAAGTGTCGGTGCGCAGGAACAGCGACGGGTCAGCTGTAGAAGGCGCGAACCCAAGAGCCGCAAGTGTAGTCCTCAGTGTGTCGTGCCACTCACGCGGAGCCTGGCGGAGACCGTAGACCGGCCGCTGAAGCCTCCACTGGGTACCAGGAGGAAACGACCCAGTGAAGCCAGGTGGGCGGCGCAGCCAGATCTCCTCGTGCAGGCTGCCCTGCAAGAAAGCAGTGCTGAAGTCAAGTAAGTGAAGCTCGTAGTCGCGCTGAGCGGCTATGTGCAGCAGCACCCGAAGAGTAGTCATCTTCGGGGTGGGGGAGAAGGTCTGGAAGAAGTCAACTCCCTCTCGCTGACTGAAGCCTCGAGCCACGTAACGCGCCTTGAAGACAGGCGGAGAACCCGGCGGCCGCTTCACCCAGAAAATCCACATGCCACTGACGATGTTCGCCCCAGGAGGGGGAACCTCGTCGACGTAGGTGCGTGTGGACTTCCAGGAAGCCATCTTGGCGTCCATGGCTGTCTGCCACTGAGAGGAGTAGGGACCCGCCATCACCTCAGCGTAAGTGCGCGGGGTCGGGATGTCTGGTGCATCTGGGTCTCCCTCAGGGGCAACTAGCAAGGACACGAGACGGGGCAAAGCAGCAGCAAGACACTGGAACTCCTCCTGTCTGTCCTCAAGGACGTCCGTGCCAAGAGCACACTCACCCCCGACGGACGGAGGACAGACAGACTCAGACTCAGCAACAAGGCTAGCGGCGTAGTCTAGACGACAGGCAGCAGCAAAGTCAACCAACTCAGCGACCAGAGCAGACGCAGTCGAGGACTCAAAGGTAGGGTCAGTGACAACAGTAGCAAGGAGACGCGTGACAGTAGGGTGCTCAGCACGATACCGGTCAGACTCAGGGTCCGGAACGTTAGGCAAGGAGGACGCAGGAGGAGACGGTAGAGGGACACGCTGAGGAGCAGTAGAGGGACGCAGAGTCATGTAGTGAGTGCCTGGGACAGGAGGAGGACGCTCACGACGGACACGACTACCAGTGCGAGCAGGACGAACAGGCGACGCAGGACGAGACTCAGGCTCACGACGCTCTGTAAGACCTCCTGTGGGACCAGTGTAAGGAGAGGGAGCAGGGAGAGGCGAGGTAGGTGGTAACTGTGACTGCGGCTGGACAGGCGGAGGACACTCTACGGAGGGAGGAGGACAAGGAGGAGGAGTCTGCCCAAGAACCTGCTGAAGGAGCGGTACGAAGTACGGTCGCGGCCGCACAGCGTCTCCGGAAGCAGAGGAGACTCCAGCGGCCGGGTCCTCAGTACCAGTAGGAGCTCCAGCGTCCGGGTCCACAGCACCAGCAGCAGCTCCACCGGCCGGGTCCTCAGCACCAGTAGTAGCTCCAACGCCCGGGTCCTCAGCAGCAGCAGCAGTGCCACCGCTCGGGTCCTCAGCTCCAGCAGCAGCTCCACCGTCCGAGTCCTCAGCACCAGCAGCAGCTCCACCGTCCGAGTCCTCAGCACCAGCAGCAGCTCCACCAGGCGGGTCCGCAGCACCAGCAGCAGCTCCCACGTCCGGGTCCTCAGCACCAGCAGCAGCGCCACCCCCAGGGTCCGCAGCACCAGGAGCACCACTCCGAAGACTGCAGCGCCGTGTGTACCACTCGCGGATCTGCTGAATGGGGGGGAGCTCCTGGGTAGGAGGGGAAGTACCGGGACGAGCTCCAGCAGCACCTCTCCGGAGGTGGCAGTACTGTAGGTACCTCTCCTGCAGCTGCTGGGAGGAGAGGGCTCCTCCAGGTGTAGCACGCTCAGGCTCAGCACCCCCAGACTCAGCACCTCCAGGCTCCGCACCTCCAGGCTCCGCACCTCCTGGCTCAGCACCCCCAGGCTCCGCACCCCCAGACTCAGCACTCCCAGGCTCAGCACCCCCAGACGCAGCACCCCCAGGCTCAGCACCCCCAGACGCAGCACCCCCAGGCTCAGCACCCCTGGCAGGACGAGAGTCAACAGCTACCTCGACAGGCTCACCCGGGTCTACCTGGGACACACCTGAGGGAGCGGCACCCTGAGGGGGGAGGGGGTCTGGTACCTCAGCACCTGGAGCGAGGAAGAGAGGCGGGGGGGGGAGCGGGGCAGTGCGGTAGGGGAAGAGGCGGTAGTAGGGGACGGACTCGTCAAAAGTGACGTCCTGAGAGGCCAGGACACGACGCGAGGTGGGGTGGTAGAACTGCCAGCCAGGGGCGTCCGGGACAAAGCCAAGGAAGACGCAGGGGACAGCGCGGCGGGAGAGCTTGTCCGCGGACGTGTCACGGACAAAAGCTCGGGATCCCCAGACCCGAAAACGCGACGCATCGCCAGCCTCTCCCGTCCAACGCAGTGTCGGAGAAGTCTCGGGCAAGGAGACACGGGGCCAGAGGTTGAGCTGATGCGCAGCGTATCGGACTGCAAACGGCCACAGAAAATGGGGGGCAGCCGCATGGCTCAAGGAGGTACGAGCGACCTCCATGACCAGACCAATGCGGCGCTCAGCAACCCCATTCTGCTGTGGAGAGGCCGGAAATGTGTACGACTGCTCAATGCCCTCCTGCTGACAGAAGGCCTCTAATAGGCCAGAGGAAAACTCCCCACCTCTATCAGAGTGCAGACGCAGGACAGGGAAGTCGGAGCGGAAACGCTCACGGAGCTGGAGACGAGATCTGCGGATCCAAGGGATCAAGACATCAGGGACGTCACCCTTGGTGCGCAAGGGGAAGACCGTGGTGTAGCGCGAGAAGTCGTCAACAACAATCAGGAAGTACCTCTCCTGACCCTGACCACGGACGCGGGCTGGGCCCCACACGTCCATGTGGAGCGTCTGCAAGGGAGCAGTCGTCGGGGGAAAGGAGGAGTGAGGAGCGGCGCGCTGCCGTCCCTCGACACAGGGAATACAGGGAGGAGCAGGCGAGTCGGGAAGGGGAGGGAGCACCCTGGGAAGACCAGCAACAAGGTCCCGTTTGTGCATGGCCCGAAGGCGCTGCACAGACGGGTGACCAAGGCGGTGGTGCCAAAGGACAGTCTCATGCGCCAGAGAGCGACACGAGCAGGGGGCGGACAGCTGACCTGACGCAAACGCAGACGCAGACGCAGCTACCTGAGGGGACTCAATGGTCAGTGTGTAAAGGTCCGACCCCGGCTCCCGAGTGAAGGTAGCCAGGTGGCGACCCGTCCGAGCACACGTGCAGTGTGTCACGCGCTCGTAGGCAGGGGTGAACTGGTGAACACCTCCGTCCTGGAGCGCACTACCTGCCACCAAGTTCGTAGAGAACGAGGGGAGGTAGAGACCTGACAGCGTGCCGGACGGGACCGCCGGACAAGGAAGGACAGTGGAGGAGGTCGCAATGACCGGACCCCCAGAGGGGTCAGCAAGGGAGACAGCAACTGGCCGAGCGAGTGGCTCAAGGACAGTGCGGTCACGAAAGAAGGAGCGAGAAGCACCTGAGTCCAGTGTGAAGGTGTGCAGTGCTGCAGTCGACTCAGTACCAGGGGGCACGGACGCACGAGCACCTAGGGCAGCAGCCTCACCAGGACCTGTGGGAGCAGACGCACTAGCACCTAGAGCGGCAGCCGGACTGGCCTGAATGCCCGGGTCGGGCGGAACACGCAAGTACTGAGCACCCTCTCCACTAATAGACATCGCATACATGGCAGTGAGAATAGCATCAAAGTCTAAAGCCCAAATATCAACACCCCTCTTTTCCAGATCAGCCCAGCGCGGCAGCTCAGTGGCAGCAGGAAACTGAGTGCGCCACGCGTCGTTAAGGCGCGCGAAGCAGCGCTGCGTGGGGTGCGGCCTCCCACACTGCTGGCCGCTGCGGTCACCTGTGCGAATGACGTACGTGCAGGTAACGCTACGCTGCGCATACCACTCACGGGCGGCCTGAAGCGTCGGGGCGGGCTGCTGACTCTGCCCTCCGCCAGTGCCTCCACGACCACCACCCCCACCGCCGCCGCCCCGGCCACCTCCACCCCTGCCGCCGCCACGACCACCTCCGCCTCCGCTGCCGCCTCCACCACCACTCCCACCGCTGCTGTCTCCTCCCCCACTGCCGCCACTAGTCTCCCCAGCCGCGCCTCCACTCCCACCGCCTCCACCCCCACCTCCTCCGCCACCACCCCCACCCCTGCCCCCCTTGTTCCTGCGGCGCCCGCTCGAAGCAGACGCGGTCCCGACCTTCTCAGCACCAAGAAGGTCGACAGCAGCAGCAGAGGCGACAGAGGGGAGGAGGGGGGAAGGGGAACACCCCTCAAAGAACGGGGTGCGGGGGTCGCCACGAGAGGTGCCTACAGCGACGATGCTCGCCTCAGCTGCAAGCAGTTCCTTCTCGAGGAGGGCAACAGTGAGCTCAGTGGGGGAGCGAGAGAGGAAGTGGTCCCTGACTGCGCGCAGAGAGTCAGGGAGGCGGGTGACGATGTGGTAGAGAGTGATCCAGAGCGGGGGGGGGTTGCTAGTGAGAAACTCGGCAGGCATAGCAGCGCGAAAGCGGGCCTCACTAGTCTTAAGGTGGGTGATGAGGTCTGCGACAGTGTGAAAGGAGGCTAGGTCGGGGAACAGGTAGGGGAGAGTGAGGCGGCCTAGCGTGGCAGAAGCGGGTGAGGAGTAGCGGGCAACTACAGCGGTGTAGAGGTCCTTAGCAGTCTTGCACTGGCCGAAGTGCTCGCGCTCGTCTAGCGGCAGGGAGTTGCGAATAGCAAAGCGAGCGTGCGCATCACGGGTCTGCCACTGGGAACGCAGAGTGCTGTCAGCAGACGAGTCAGGGGCAGTGGCATGGCCTAGGGCATGGTCGTACAGTGAGATATCTTCCTTGGCAGTGAGCTGTAGGAACAGGTGCAGGTCATCGAGCCAGGTTTCGAACTTCACTGGACGGCCCTCGGCATCGAAAGCTAGAACTGGCGGACTAGCCATAGTGACAGTAGCAGTAGTAGTAGTGGCAGTAGTAAGAAAATAAACAGCAGTGAGATCGAGTGCCTCGCGGGCAGCGGCTGCAGAAGCGCACGGGCAGCAGCGGCGCACGGGGAACGGCAGTGCACGGGCAGCGGCGGCGCACGGGCAGCGGTGGCGCTCGGGAGGCAGCGGTGCGCAAGCAGCAGCGGAAGCAGCGGCGTACGAGCGGTTGCGGGCAGCGGGGCGTCTGCGACGGCGGGCTGCGGGCCTGCGGGGCGTGCGCGAGCGGCAGCGGCTGCGGGCCTGCGGCGCACTAGCGGTAGCGGGCGACTCGCGGGCGGCGGCTGCAAAGGCGCACGGGCGGCAGCGGCTTATGCGCACGGGCAGCAGCGCCGACAGCGCACGGGCGGCTGCAGCAGCGAGCGGTGCGCAAGCAGCAGCGGCAGCAGCGCACGGGTGGCAGCGGCGTCGGTGCACGGGCGGCAGCGGCGTCGGCGGACGGGCGGCTGCGGGCAACGGGCGTGCGGCAGCTGCGGCGGCGAGCTGCGGGCCTGCGGGGCCACGGCGGGGTGTGCGCGAGCGGGCGACGGGCGGCTGCAGCAGCGGGCGCGTCAGCGAGGCGCACAGGCAGCGCGCGGGCAGCGTGCGGGGCCGCGCGTAAAGAAAACAGCCGCGCGCGTGCGGCTAGCGGGGCGCGCGCAGCGAAATCGACCGCGCGCGGGCGGGTAGCGGGATACGCGCGCTAAAAAAAAAAAATCGAGTCGCGCGCGGGCGGCTGGCGGGCTGCGCGCGCGCGGTAGGTAGGAGGCGCACGAGGGCGCGTAGGCGCACGAGGCGCACAGTAGGTAGGTAGGTATGTAGGTAACGGTGGGCCCTAAGAACGGTCCTAGCGAAGGACCTGCTCTGAAACCATGTCAGTAATAACGGACTGGAATGATGAACTAGCAAGGATTGTGAGTACAAATATGAAACCCTAATGTTGTGACCCCCCTATAGGCTAACCCACTACAGCCTACACAAATACAACAAGTATAATGTTTGACAGACGGGTCATATCCCTTCCAACGTATCAGGAACTCGAGCGTGTTGCCGCGTCTGTGCCGATGAGCGAGAACTCGTTCCACCTCATACCCTGGTTCGTCTTGTACTAGAACAGGTAGTGGTGGCGGTAGCTGTCGTCCTGTGAACTGCTGGTTGGGGTCCTTGTAGGGTTTCAGCAGCTGAACATGGAAGGAGTTGTGAAGCTTCCACGTAGTAGGTAAGCGCAAGCGGAATGTAACAGGTGTCACCATCGCCTCAACGCGAAAAGGACCATTGCTACTGAGTGATCTCGTCGCTGTCGATCGGCATACTGCTTCTAGGAGTTCTGCATCGTGGTGAGACGTCGCTGAATCGTCTCCTATAGCTGCTGCATGGTGGTGACGAAGTCGTGTGCGGCTTGGACGTGTGCCGGTGTGGTTGGCTGTTGTGGTGTAAGTGGTTCCCGTCCGTAGCACAGGAAGAAAGGAGTTTTTCCTGTGGCCGCATGCGACGTGTTATTATAAGCGAACTCAAGCGTCGGTAACTGGAAGTCTCAGTGGTTGATGTCGTCTTTGCAAGCTGTGCGCAGTAACTGTTCAACCACCTGATTGAGTCGCTCAGTCTGTCCGTCAGTCTGGGGGTGGTATGCTGAAGACATTGCAAGCTTTGTCCCCAACAATCCCATGAGTTCCCTCCAAAACTTACTAGTGAATTTTGGGTCTCTGTCTGAGATGAGTGTAGCAGGGATGCCGTGGATGGTGATGATGCGGTCGAAGAAGAGGCGAGCAGTTGCTTCAGTTGTAGCTGTGGCGTTGGTCAGAATGAAGTGTCAAAATATATTTTATATATATGTCGTATAAGTGCATATAGTCCTAGCTGTAGAGTAGTTATCTAGTGTTCTGTGTGGTGGTGCACCACTCTTTGCTGGTTCACTTCTATTTGTACCTCTCTTTTCATAGTGCAACCCCTCCTTTTGCTTGGACTTCTCCGTTGCCTAGGCTAAACCCTAGCTCCTACTCCTAACCATGCATCCTAAGCCTAAACCTAGTTTCCTAGGTGCTTAGTATCTCAACATGGTAATCAGAGCAGGAACCTTCCTGCAGCCTTCCTTAACGGGCCCACCAGTCTGCTTCCGCTGCTGTGCCGCGCGCTCGGGGCGCGCGGCATTTTTTCTTCCCGCCGCGCGTTCGGGGCGCGCGGCGGTTTTCTGCCCCGTCGGCCTGCGCGTCGCCCCCCCCCCCCCCCCCCGCTTTCCCCGTCGCGGCGCCCTGGGGAGCCGCGCGCGGCCCCCTGCTGCCGCGTCGCGGCGCCGTGGGGAGCCGTGCGTGGCCCCCGTTTCCCCGTCGCGGCGCCCAGGGGAGCCGCGCGCGGCCCCCCGCTGCCCCGTCGCGGCGCCCTGGGGAGCCGCGCGCGGCCCCCGTTTCCCCGTCGCGGCGCCCTGGGGAGCCGCGCGCGGCCCCCCGCTGACTCGTCGCAGCGCCCAGGGGAGCCGCGCGCCGCCCTCGGGGACGCGCGCGCCCGTCCCCCTAGACCCGCGCGCCCCTGCCTGGACCCACGCGCCGCCCCCGGGGACCTCCGCGCTCCCCCCCGTCGACCCGCACGCCGCCCCCGCTGCTTCCCGCGCTCCTACCTGCGTTAGGGTTTGGGGGTGGCGGACGTGGGGGTGCACGGTGTGGGTAACCTGCAGCTCCTCCTCCTCCTTCGTCTCCCACTGCTGCAGCTGCCGCTGAGGGGGGTGGGTGTGTGGGAGCCGAGGGTTTAGGGTTTAAGGGGGGTGCCGTGGGAGTGGAGCTAGGGTTCAGCAGGGGGTGTGTGTAAAGGGAGTGGGTCAGTTGGAGGAGGTTGTGTGGAGGTAGCTGTCGTGTCGCCTGCAGCGCCTGTAGTCCGTCGCCCTTGCTTCGGTAGCCAGTGAGCCTGTTGCACCAGTCGCCAGTGGGTCCGTTGCTCCTGCCGCTCGTCTTAGCCGCGGAGCCAGTCACTCCAGTAGTCCGTCGCCCTTGCTTTGGCAGCCACTGAGTCAGCCGCTCCTGTGCCCGTGCCTCTGCAGCTTCAGTCGTTGC